CAATTATTTAGAGTCCTATAGGCAATGAAGTTATTTGACTCATACCCAACAACAAAGGCATCTTGCCAGGTGCTTGCAAGAAACGCACCAAGAATACGTTTTTGCTGTTCAAAGCAGCCACTTAATTGTGAAGTGCAACACCCACAACAGAGTGGCACACCACGAACCTTCAGTTCTGACTATTTTATTGAATTAAGCCAGAAATCAATTTCAGAGAAAGGAATTACAGGATAATAAATACCTTTTAATATGACAATTTTTGTTCCTTACACGATGCTCTCCAGGGTAGGACATTTTCATTCTAAAGAGAGCTAGCTCTTAAAAAGAATTAAATTAAATGGTAGGGAGGACAATAACAAGCACTCTTCTCCCTTGGTCTTCTCCTCTTTTGAGGCACAACTGTTAAAATACAAATTTTGTCTGGGAGCGCCTGGCATCTGAGCTGTTCTCAGAGACAAGAGGCTGACACGGGTAAGAGGTACCAAGCCACTACACTGCAGGCAGAGTACACCCTAATTACACAAGGGTATGAAAAAGCAGTCTGGTTTTGCTGTATTATGACAAGCACACTGCTGTCCCTATTCAAGCATCAATATTTACTTCACCAGCGTGGGAGAACACTTGTGTTCCATGGAAAGAGGCCTTCAAAGCATCTTTCACACTGGCTCTTTGCCAACATAATCCTCTCTGGACTGGCATACCCCCTTGGCTAAGGTAACTTTCCAGCTGAAATCCTCCTGGTGTGGCATACGCGTTACACACAGCTCTCATGTTTGGATTTTGAGTGTGCGTGTTGTTTCAGCAATCTCCAAGTTTCACACTTCAGTAACACCTGAGGACTGCACCTATCAATTAAAAGGAGGCTGCAAGCCACCAGCTACTCTCACACAAGAAGCTACACCAGCGATAGCATTTTCTGGAAACTGCAGAGCAAAAATCAGTTCATATTTTGACTTCTAACAACAAAGGAAAAATTAGTATTCTATATTCTAGGACGAAGAACTGTAATTTTTTTTTTATTATTTCCATAAGCTTAAAAGAAATGCTGCTGACCTCCAAGCAGTGGAAAACCAGCCGCTTACCACACAGACACAAGGGTGTACATCTGCCTGGTGCAGGCTGAGCCCAGCATCCCTCAGCCCATAGCTCTCGGGGCAAGCCCTGCAGTGCACCCATGCTGGGGATAGCACTGGCAAAAGGAAAACACATGACAAAGTTTACCTCCCACAGGTGAAGGCAGAAGAAAGGACTGCAATTGCTGCACCAATTACTCAGTCCCCATCACCTGCTACACAGAGCCCCATTCCCTCTGGCAGCTGCAACACTCCACAGTCCCATATCAGTAAGCTTCAGAGGGCTCCCTAGCAGCCGATCACACAACTTTAACAGTCACAAAGCTACAGCTTTGGAAGGAGAGCGATAATGATCTCTCTAACCCAAAGATGATAACAAACTCCATTGCTCTGAGGGGACAAAAAACTGTGCCAAAATTTATCTCTGGGCTAACTACTGCAGAAGCCATTACATTTGGCTCCTGGTATTTCTGTGAAACGAAGGATGGGAAGTGCGAAATGCGAACAGCCACAATCTCATTGATGGAGATAACTTCTGAAATCATGAGAAAAGTAGTCACAAACAGGGTCACAGCTGTTTCAGATATAATATACAACCATCTCAGCTGCTGAAAACAGCTTTCATTCTCTCTTCATTTTCTTCATTCTCTCCACATTACACTCAGCTTCTCTTTGCATGATAGTGCAGACGAACATGCCTGAACCTTCCAAAAGAATCCTGACAACGTGACCTTATCAAACACCTCAAGGATGCTCAGGGGTATCTGTTTTTGGCATTAATGCACAGTGAGATTTAGAGATAGGAAATGGGAGGTTTGTTTTCAAAATATTTTTTCCAATACAGTAAAGACCAAGTTTCTGGGTTTCACCCTAGATGAGTATCGTTTTGAAACATAGTGAAAAGAAATTTGCCACATCCTACTCTCTCAACTACAGCTGATTAAAGAGTTGTTAATCTGCTGCACCAAATTTATATATTACATGATTCATACTTGTTACAGACCATTTAACAATGAAAAAAGCTAAAGAATAGTTGTTTGTGAGCTACATAATCCAACTTACCAAAAAAAAAAAAAAAAAAAAAGAGATGACTGCATGCATTATATAAGCAAAAATGATACTCTATTAGAGAGAAGGTATAGTTTATATAAGGGATAGGAGTTCTCTATGACAAAACCAGCTACACACATTACCAAGACAGCTATTCAGGCAAATAGGACAGATGGATCTGATCAACTGAAAGCACTGAAATGTAGTAACCTATACTATTTTCATTACCCACAACCTAGGTAGGTGGGACAAAAAAAAAAAAAAAAAAAAAAACACAAAAAACAAAAAAAAAAAAAAAAAAGAGAGAACAGGAACTGCCTGACTGCATCATCTTTTGATGCACTGTCCCAGCACAGGTAGGTATAAACAAATCACTCCAATCTCCCATGTCCTGCTATTTGATTAACACAAGTAGTGTGATTTGGCAGGTCCAATTTGAACTAAGTATTTTGATATGTCTCTAAAAGAGAGAAGAATGTGAGGAAATTGTACAAAAATTATTGTCTGCAGAAACTTTCATTGGAAAAATATCAGCCAAAACCACTTCCTTAGCTCTCAAGTAAATGCTTTGCATCTGTTCACTTACACACAACCCAACATACACCTTTCTAGGGCAATTCAAAGAGATCTGCTGAAGCTTAAGATTATCCCTTCTCTCTTTAGAAGATCACTTGCAGCCATACCTGTGAAATTTTCAACGGTTGTACAGCTGATTAGGAGACTAGGTAAAGCAGGGGAAATTATAACAAAAATTCATGAGAAGGTCTGCAGAATACGGTCCCCTTTCAACACACATCATGGGCTTGAAATGTCAGCATTCAAAATACCAACCAAACCAGAGCTGAGACAGGAAAGCAGAGGGCAGGGGAGAGAAACTCTCAAATGAGCTGATTCATTCCAACATCATGTAGGAAACCACCAAAGCAGAGAAGCCGCTCACCAGTCTACTCAACACATCTCAAATGAATGCAGTGCTACCCTCTGCTCCCATCTGTCCCCAAAGAAAGAGAAAAAAAGCATGCAACTTCTGCAAACGTGGGGATTCTTTACTAACCATATTAGTTAACATCCTATCCAAGTTGGCAAAATGTTAAAGCTGCTGATGTTATTCCTCTCACAGTGCTTTTATAAAGCAAAGAAGATAGACACTTGCAGCTAAGATTGTGGCTCAGTCTTAAAATTGCCAGCTACTTAGTCTGGATATAAACCAACAACTTCCACTGCTAATCCGAATCCTTTTGATCACTTCACCTAAACAGAAATATATCCCTGGAAACCAAAGTAAATGCTTTGACCTTCAGCTGTGATACCCAGATTTAGTTCCGCTTATCAGAGAGAGACAGTCCCTTCTTTCTCCACCCCAGGATACCTGCCTGGTCTCACCTCCCACATTTGAGCAGCCCTCAGCAGTCTAGAACACTTTGGGATGTGCATTGCCCGTAAGGTTTTGGCTTTCCTCACCTATTTCAAGGTCAGAAGTAAACAACTTTCTATGCAAAATGGATTCAGAAGTGGGTATAGCTTTCAGTAACACTACAAGAAATACCAACATATAAAAGCATACCCTTAATTTCTACCTTACTTATTCATTAAAAAATGCATTTATGCTCTCCCTAACCCCAAAAATATTAAGATCCCTTAAAAGTACAGCAATATTTGGCATCACCTGGCACTCATGCTGACAGTCTTAGCAAGGAGGTAACACGCTGGCAGATGGAGTGATGTGCAGGTCAGGGAAGGTGCAGACTGGCAAAGCAGGACAGGGAGTGGCCTGGGGTGAAGAGAGACTGGGGCTGAAGGCATCTTATCAGCTAGTAATTTGCTGCAGCTGGTACAGCTGCCAGCTGAAGCTCATGATCTCCCTTTCACTTCCTCCTCCTCTAAGCATGAAATTCTTTTGCTCACACTCATGTGTGCTCTCCCCTAGTACCTTCACTGACACAAACCAATGTTTTTACAGTATTTCAAGTCAGTAATAAAGTAGGTTTTCATTGTTACTGTGTATTTCTAGTTCTACATCATACACAGATTAGTACTTTATTATGTACTCTGTGTTTTGATACCACTTTATAATGCCACTGTGTACAACAATCTTTGTGTGATCCTTCCTTGACAGTTTTGACTCACAAAGGCTTGGCTCCAAAGTGAGGTCCATAAAAAAGATGTAGTAGGCTTGTTGAAACAAATAACAAAACAGTCAAAAGCCTTCCCTTGAGAAAGGCCAGCAGAAGACAAAGAAATACTTATGCAATCACTAAGGGACATTGGAAATGTGTGTTCTGAATAAACACTCATCTTCAGTATGCAAGTACCATTGCCTTTGCTGTCTCCCAAAGATCAGCGAGAACGGAAATCAATGATGCCGTCTTGTTAGAAAACACAAATCAAAGCACCCGTGACTTTGTAAAATCCTTTCTGTCACTTTGACCTTCTGGTGCCAGGCATCTCCACGGATTCACCACCATTCATTGTAATGTCTAAAGAGGAAATCAGCAGTGCAACAGTAGAGTAACACACTAGCAGCAGGGATCACAGCAAAAGCTAGGAAGCCAAGTATACAAAAAGAAATGAGAATCCCATGAATGGATGCTTGCACTGCCTTGAGGGCTGTATCCCTCCCTTCTAAGCAATACAAGTCACTTCTGCTGTTGTCCAACTGTACGCCATATCCCTGCCTCACCATCTGCACCTACTGTTGCCTGCAAAGAGTCTAGTTCTCTTCTTGTCTAATCAGTCATGTTGGGAGCCACTGCTGTTACAGCTACACCTTCTCCAGGGCCACCAGTTAAATATCATAAATATGGTGGGCAGCAGCAGATAAGCCCTGTCTTTCAGAGAATCTCTTATAAGAAAAGTGGGAGGACAGGTGGTACTAACCTGAGTCTCCAAGTTGGTGTAGGGACTAGGAGGTTCAATCTACAAAAAGAGCAGACAGAAACAGCCATTACTCTGGAATAGCAGAAAAGAAGGTGTTTTGAGCCATTATTGGTGCAAAGTAGTGATCTTAGAAACAAACACACCTGCTCAAACAAGGATGAAAGGATGACAGAGGATTTTATTTTAGTATGTTGGATTTTCTTGTGTTGTTTGTTGCTTTGTGGTTGTTTTTTTTTTTTTTTTAAGAGATCCCCTTTTTCAGACATCCTACCATAGCAAAGGAATTACAGGATCTCTACAACTCTACAATACTTGGATAAGTGAAAGAAGTAGCAGTAACTGGAGTATATCAGAAACAGATTAGCTACAGAATAACTCAAGGCCACATGCAGGCCCTTGCATCTTTGATTTAATAATTTTTTACATTTCTTTCTTAGATTACAATTGCTAATTTTGGTGCTCCTGTAATTTCAGAAAGTTGACCAAGACTTGATGGTGATAGGGTTGGCCACATCCTTGGCAAAAGTCTTCCTCCCAACAGCTGCAGTTACACCATAGTTGCTTTGTTTTCCATTAAAGTTTCATCCTGATGAACGTCTCTCTCCAGCTCTGCACACTACACGTGCAAGCACACCATGCATTTTCTTCAGTCTGGCATATTCCTTGGTGTCAAAATCTGAACTCTTAACTTGGCTTGGCCAGAGGATTCAAACCTTATTAAAGAGCTTCTAAACACAAAAGCACAAAAATTGTCTATTTAGCCAGCTAATAAAGAGATAACATCCCTACAGGAGACTTCATCATTAGCGTTCTGGGATTAGCACTCAAGCAAAATCTTTAAGGGAATATCTTTTAAAGTATAAGGGGCATTTAAAACCTCAGTCCTGCTGGTCCAGGTATTAGTCTGCAAGGTCTTGCTTCCTACAAGAACCTGTTTAATTGGAAAGCCTAACAGAGTGGAACCAGGTCAATGATGCTTTCTCTTTAATCCATCACATCTGTTGAAAATTAGACAGCTTCAGTTTAGTAGAGTAAATTCTTGTCTGTCAGATTATTGGGCTCTTGAGACTAATTTTGAGTTTTGATATCTCCAAATACTCAGGTCGTTGTGACTCACTTTGGCTAAACCACAGAACAGAATGGAAAAAATAATATCTGGCTTTCCTCCAAGAAACTATATATATTAATTTTACTTTTAATTATACCTGTAAAGCAGCTTTTGGTTTAATATTCACTGTAAATACACCAATAAAGAAATAAGCTATCAGCCCAGGAAAAAGACAAGAAGGAAATTGGCCTTGAAACCCTCGATACATCTCTCCTCCACTCTGTAAGTCACAGGTCAGGCAGCACGCTGTGCCCATGAAAAAGTCCATGATCACCTCTGTCACACTGTTAACTTAAACACAATCTTTCATCAATATGGTCTAGCACCAGAGTACCATTACTATACACATGTAGTAGATACTACCTGAGAACTGGCCAAATGATATCAAGACTGGAAGGAAACTGAGAAATCTCAATGAAATCCAAATATCATGTCATCAGCTAAGCTAGAGGAAAAAAATAATCATTTGAAGGTGCGAGAGGAGAGGAATCTTGTCCTTGGATAGCTTTACATTTCTAAAGATAAATGATGTCAGCACTCACAGCTCTTCTCTTACAGATTTAGCCGGGATAAACTCATCCATTTTGCAGCTGGACTCTAAGTGATGCTAGTTTGGTCACAACGCTGTCCTACATTGTCCCACTCACATTTATATCATAGCAGGAAGATCACAATAGTGGCAGGTGTGTGTGGCAGATAGAGTATACAATGTGTTTAAATAGAAAGAGCAAAATACTACTGTAACAAAGAATGGCCCAGCTGCACAGACTCCCCTTTGGGAGATCATCTGGATTTTCTCAGCTGCTGCCAATTTGATTGCAGACAAAAGCTTTTTCAGCATGTACTGTTCACTTCCAAATGACATTATTTCTATAACAGGAAGCAGCTACTGTATGTATAAAACATCCTGGAAAGATCAGGGGATTCCTCTGATAAGGCTTCAGACTATTTAAACACCAGCCAAATGAAGTCCAATGCTTGCTTAACAAAACAGATTTTCTTTGGAAATTCTTAATTTCAAAAGCTTTCTTGATGAAAGAAAACTGTAAATAAAAACCAGGTTTTGAATGAAGAGGCTCAGGAGGGTAGAAGAGGCAGGACATAAACATAGCCAAATTCAGTTTTCAACTTCAAAAAAGAGTCTTAAAATTCAAGATCAATGTCAGCAACTTAAAAGAAAGACTTCACTCTTACTGCAGGAAGGGGCATGTCCTTAAAATTATACACAGATCACTAGTGCCAAATAAATATGTCACATATGGGTAAATCCCACTGCTCTTCTCCAGCTCCTGTGTGTAGCCTGACGCACAGTTATATATGGCCATGTGCACAGGAATAACCCACCTGCGAGGGATGAGGGTATGCACTTTTTAAAAAAAAAAAAAAAAAAAAAAATAAAAATACCTCCTTTTCCATTTGCTGCTTCTCCAAGCGGTGGGTTGTGTTTGTCTCTCCTCTGGCAGGGAGTACGTGAAGGTGGATCTGCTCCTCTTCCCTGCTGCCCCCTTTGTATCCCTCCCCATGGGTTTGGAGAGGTTTGCACTGGGGTAAATGTCAGTAGAGCAGATTTGGAAAAACTTGCCCGGTTTCTCATTTCTTTGTCCTTCAGGTAAATATTTATAAATAAAGATGTTCTCAAACTTGAGCAACTGTGAAGGGTAATGACCTGCTGCTTTTAAAAGCTTAAAACACTGGACCAGTATTGCTATTTCGGTATGCACTTTTAAAAAAAAAAAAAAAAAAAGTTACAATCTCTCCATTTTGTCCAACCTGCCTGCTCTTATTGATCATTAGCGGCTAATGAAAGGTCTGAGCCAGAGAGTGAAGTTATCACTCATCTATGTCTATGCACAGAGACACTTAGGAACAAAGAGCAGAACAACCAGCACCATTCTCAGCAAAGTTTCACTTGGTCTGTACGTGTTCTACTTAAGCTCTACCAGGTTTCAGCTGCCTGCAACAGCACCACAGGAGCTGTTATAGCTGAACGCCAGGGACATCAGCAATCATCCCATCCCAAATTTCAGACTGCCATTTTTCAAGTGCTATGAATCATTAATCTCCAGTGCTTGTGATCAAATGAAATCTTTAGTGGAACTGGAGTGTAAACACAGTATGACATTGCTGTATAAATGGTATGACACATTTTTCACATTTAAAGATTGATCAGGCAAAGAGTATTGACAGGTGAAACTGAGGTACAGCAACTCTGGTCTGGGATTTGGTTACCAGAGTTTTCATGAAGGGTTAATGTCTCGCTCACATATAGGAAAGAGACAGCTGTTTTCACAGACATTGCAACCTTCCCAAAACAAAACTAAAGGATGGAAAGACTCAGAGGTACAGATGAATTAACCGACTATTCCAAAGTCACATAGGAAATATGAGAGAAATCCCCAAGTCACTGTCTAGGGACTTGACCACAAGACACGTCTCCCTCCTATGCCACAAAAAAAATGTTTTTCTAGCACCATTTGAAGAGACATCAGGTTTGAATATGGTAACAATCTATGCCTCAGTCTAGTCACACACATTTTTGGTGATGGTCCAAGACTGACTGCGGGACAGCCCAGTGCTTAGACCCAGCAAAGTGCTGTTGGCTGCACTGGACCAGACCTGAAGACATGCCTTCTGCTCCCTGCCCCTTCCATCACTTCTGGGCTGTGCATTTTCAGCAGCTGCAACTCTGTTCAGCTTTGATAAGCATGGCAGGCAATCGAAAAGCTTATTATTTTACTTGATGGCGTGATTTTCACTCAGTTTCTAGTCACTTCACCCCTGAAAGCAGCACCGATCTGCATGTGGCCTGGCACGGGGTGGTGGCTCCCCAGCAGCAGTGCCAGTTGCCATCACCCCAGAACCACAGCACTCGCACTGCAGCAGTTCTTGCTCCCACGTTTTGTGCAGCTGGGCCCTGACGCACACAGGGGAACTGAACCAGCCTGAAAGGTTCTTTTTAAATTTTATTTATTTGTTCTGTGTCATTTTACAGCTGAATCAGTGCCTTCACCCAGCTGATGACACAAGGCAAGGACAGCTGTGCTGGCACAGCAAAGCCAAGAGGGGGAGTACACAAAGGAAGAACCAGCAGTTGTGGACAGGGTAAGGAGGCAAGTAGCAGTGACAAATTCCAGCATCGCCACCAAATACTTCTTCCCATGAAACCACAGTTTTGGACGAAGACACAAAACATTCACCTAAAAGTGACATTTCACACGTCCTCTCCAACAGCTCTGTTGCTGCAAGGCAGGACCACATAAGAACAGCTCCCTGTGTGGGCAGCGCTGGTTTTACAAATTGCAGTTGAGGGCTACAGCTATCCCAGGGCACTGCGGCTTTGTCTCTTCTGCTGACTCATTTTATGACCCGGGGGTTTGCTAGCCTGCCAGCCTGTGGTTTTTGTCCTATGTTCAAATTTGGCTGAAAGCTTCTATATATTCACAGAAACAAAAAAAGAAAACAACAACAACAAAAAAACCAGAATTGGAAAGAAACTCGTGGACTGCCATTTCCCTACATTTCTGCCCATCTCTCCTCGTTTAGCGAGGGGGAACACAAGTCAGTTAACCTCCCACACATCACAAGGACATGGTGGCACAAGTGCCCTGGAGCAGCACTCTGGGCACCAACGAACAGAGTTTCGGTGCATACAGAGAGGGAGCAGCAAGTCCCTGAAACGAAACTCAGCATCTTATTACAGGAAGTGCTCAGTAACCTTAATTGTAACCCTTTTATCTAAATCACATTAACAGCCGCCTCTACACCACCAGCAATCACACAGACACACCCCAACGTATTCAGTGAAGGGAGACTTCCTGGCAGCACCAGTACTGCCAGCATGGGTGGGCGCTGCCAGACAGCGGTACCCGCATCCTAATGTCACCCACCTCACATCCTCATAATGCCAGGCAGAGGGGTCACGCAGCAACATCTCCAACGTGATTAGGCACTTTCTAAGGTGGAACAGGATGTCATTTAGACAGCAAGAAAACAAAACCCGAAAATGCTCTTGTAGGTCAGCTTTTTATCACACTGCCCACTGTCACAAGCTGCACCAATGTCTGCAAGCACTGCCTTGGAGACCTCAAGAGTGTTTGCATAGAGGAAAAGACGGGAAGGACTCACTAGTACTAATGTACCCAGAGCCTCGGTGCCTCAGTGTGACTGCTCTGCAAATGATCCTTTCAAGGAAATACTCCAACGCCATAAAAATCTCAGCATGTCATCATAGGCCACATAACTCGTAATTTTATTCTTTCTGCTGGACATCTTAACACACATCAAGGAAGCTCTAGTACACAGGTGTAAATGCTATTATTTGACTTCTTTTTTCCTCCTCCAAAAGACAGCTCAGAGAAAGGATAAAGACTATAAAGAATGTTTCCTACTATGCATTTGGAACGATTATTCAATGAAAGACTGGATCCTGAAATGCCAAGACTGGAAATCAGCACATTTGCACCATTTTTTCCCCCTACTAACACTGTCTGAATGAATAGCGGTTCTCGGGAAGAAATTACTGTGTTATCAATATACCAATCTTTCCACTACTTTCTGCAGCTGCAACGTTCTGGAAACAAACATTTAGTGCAGACAGGATTTCAGCCAGTGCAGGAGGCTCTGGGCAAGCTGTGGCAGAAGCCAAGCCCAAAGTGTGCGCAACTTCCTGTTACACGAACTAATGATGCACAAAAGGTGCAGCCAACCTGTCTGCTTTGCAAACCACATACCCAAATTTTCATACAATGAAGAGCTGTAGACACTTATGATGTCCTTTGAAGAGACAAAAGGGAGCAGAGAGGAGATAGAGCACCCAAGCAATGACAACAGCTTCCAAGGAGCAGAAATAGGGAAAGATGTAGTTAATGAAGACATCCCCAAGGACATCCACCAAGGCCAGGCCGAGCCCCGTTTTCTGGCTCCCTTCCTCCAGCAGCAGGGACTCGTTTCACCCAATAACCCAGTGACAGCACAGCCCCATTGCTGGTCATGCAGTGTTGGGGCAGGACGAGAGCTGCTTCTCAACTGCCTGACAGCCACCACCAATACGTCTGGTACAGACCCAAGCTCAGGTCTCAGCCCTCCTCTCAGTCCCCTGCATGTAATGACAGACACTGAAGCCCCAGGAGAGGGGAGAACTCCCCAGCAACACCAGCATGAGGAAGATGCAGACACCTTCCCGGGGCTTCTCTCTCAACTAGTGCCAGTGACAAGATGGGGCCGTAATGGAGGTGGAACAACCCCAGCCAAATGCGCTGGGTGGTCCTGCAGCTCCTGTGAGCTCTCAGGATCCCAGAACATGCAGAGGCTGCTCCAAATCGCTGAGCTGCAATTACTGCGCTCACCGTTAATAGCCTCACTGGTACATAGCTTAACGAACCTGTTCTTCAGTAGCAATATCAGTCCACATGGCCTGTGCCAGCCCTTAATTTTGACAAACGAAGTGTTTGTGTGGCCAAATTGGAGAACCAGTCCTAGCTAAAATCAAACCATTGGGGGAAAACATATTTAAGCAAGGTCATTTTCTCATCTAATTTCCTGAGAAACTGCAAAGAGTGGGAGGGCAGCTTAAGGCAGGACATCCACTAAGATTTAAGACATGGAGTTTCATGATCAGCTCCTCAAGTATTATCTTGGTCAACACCTTTAAGTACACAATGCAGGCACTTAATTCAGATTCTTACTCCACATGCTCTGAGCTATTCTCACCGTCCTAAACTGTAGCATACCTAGGGGAGAGTCCCAGGTAGAAAAATATTAGGAAGAAACAAGAAGAACATAAATACATTGAAACCATCTGTAACCCTCTAGAAGAAGACGGTATTGATCAAGTAAGGCTGGAGTGCAGGCAGGAAGAAAAAAACCATAGAAAGACACCTACTAAAAGGGGAAAGCAGCACATGCAACAAAAACATGGAGAAAATTGACTCTGCAGAGGTACTAGTTGCCATACAAAAATTCAAGACATCTGAGATTGAGACCCTGGATTGTTACCACTTTCTTCTCCTCTCCATTTCCAACGGCGTTGGGGGTTCTGCCTGAATTATGGAGGGGTTAAGACAAACCAAGTTACAGAAAATAAAAATAGCACACCAGTAAGTAACCTCATCAACACATACTTGAGCATGGGAAAGACTTCCCATCCTCTGCCACACCAGGACAGCTCTTCCACATGAAAGGGCAGGCATTAGAAAGCTTTTGGATACTAAACCTATGATAACAGTACTAGAAACATGAAGAGGCCCAAGCTGCAAGGTCATTTCTACTTAGCCACAGGGCAGCTGTATCAAAAGGGCAGTACTTTCATGCTTTTTTAATTTGAAACAAGTCAGCAAGACTTGAGACATAACAGAGACATCAGTTCACAGCTACTTAGTCCTTGACTAGCTAGATATAGTTTGGTGAAGATTACCCTCTCTGTGCTGAGGTACATATCAACTGGTAGAACATAACATTCTGGTGGAAAAAGTGATGTGCCTGATGCCTCCGCACACCAACTCTGGATATTTCACCACCAGAAACAACTGCAGTCTCTTTAATAACCAATGTAACTTTTAGTAACCAATGACTTTGGTAAAAACTCCTTTGATTCTTGGCTAGAAAAGTAAATCAGTGTAGCTCCTTCAAAGCCAAAAAGCTGAGAGTCTGCCCTCATTGAGCACAGCATATGTGTCTTCTTCCAAACGAACAACTGCATGCTTATCCCGCAGTTCAAGGGCAGCTCAGTTAAATTCAAGACCTGCTGGTTCCTTGCTTTCCCACAAAGAAAAAACTAGGTTTTTTTTGTCCGCAGGAGCTTTACAGAAGGCTAAGGTCATTTACAGAACCTGAACTGCAGCAGACCTACCTACTACTTCTTAGCCTACAAATATAGTCAGAGCCCAGAAATAGTCCAGAACTCTCAAATGCCTCCATAAAATCCATTACCCAAAATAAATCCATACCATCTTACTAAACACTTAAGCCACAGACTGAATCCACTGTCTATTAAATCCTGAAATTCCCATTATAAATGAAGCTGGTACTATCCCTATCTCTGGTGTCTTTTACCACCTGAAAAACATCTGCTGCTATGAGCTCAGCACAGGCCCCTGAACTCAGACTGGGCCACCTGCAGAAGTACGCACATAGCGGTAGGAAGCTTTCCCAGATGTCCATAAAGTACGTCTGGCCACAGAGATGCTGCTGCACAAGTACTATTTTGACATTTTGAATATGTTAGCTATCCAGGCCAGACATGCTGTCTCACATATAGGAACAGAGAGGCAGTTAATGTTTTAACTTATTAACTCTGGGCAGGCTTATCTTTCAGCCTTGACACTTTAATACAGTATAACTGCTCCAATACCACCTTTTCAAATCTGTGTTTAAGAATGATACATTTGACCAATTCAGACCAAGGGTCAACCGTCCTGCTTTCTTGAATAATTTATTAAGAGCTGGCAGGAGCGGTGGCTTTGCTGTGTTGTTCAGTTGTCCTAACAAATTGGACAGTTTGTTTCAGGCAGCAGACAAATTTCAGCACAATCTTGCTGTGTTGTTCAGTTGTCCTAACAAATTGGACAGTTTGTTTCAGGCAGCAGACAAATTTCAGCACAAAATGCAAATGGGTAAAAAATGAGAAATACTAATCTAACAGATCAATATAACCAGGTTCTTTAGAGATGGTAAAGCGTACCGGATGATACTGAAAAAGACGTTTCTCCCTCCATGTCCCATCTCATCTCTGAAAACTCCACAGCTCCTCACTGCTGTGAAATGCAGTTTCATGCCCAGTTCTCCAGCAGATGCTGCCATCTGAGAGGGCACCCCAGGAGGTACGGCCCGGGTATGATTTTGAGCATAATTATATTCAGGCACATGGATACGGATTATTTGCAGTTCTAGTGATGGAAAGGCAAAAGAAAAAAGATACATGTCCTTATGCAACATTTTCACAACTTTAATAGTGCTAGAGGAGTCTATATTTATAGAGTAACCAAATGTCATAAAAAGCTACATAAAAAAAGCATATGGAAGGAGAAGCTAATTCAGTTCAATGTGTAAGCATAGAATTTAAAGGAAAAAATAATGGTCCTGGCTGACAACCACTCCAGTCATCGGCAATTACAAGAACAATTCCAAACTGCTCTGCTTGAATATTATCTGAAACAGGACACAGTGCAGAAAATCAGCAGGAAGGCCATGACTGAATTTAAAGAGCAGGCTCATTTAAAGTATCCAGACAAATAAGTTACCAGAAGAAAATTAAAGCCTGCACTAAGGAACATGTTCAAAACTTAAATGAACAGCCAAAGAGGACCGACTTCAGGCACGACAAGCTTCAGAGCTGAGTCAGGCACTCCTACGGTGTGAACAGAAGTCAGCCAGTCAGCAGAAGAGCTGCACGTTTCTTAAGTAACTCTCACACGTAATCGAGCTAGAAATCTGTATCAAAGCACCTGGAAAAGAGAGAGGTATGGTGGGTAGGCCAGCTTAAGGGATGTCTGCATATCCCCAACAGAAGAAAGCACTTTTTCACCAGATTTTGCACTGCACAGAGAAAAAGACACCCAGGAAATCCCTGGTCTCAAAGCAGAGTAAAGCATGGCTATTCAGTGACAGCCACACTGTGGAGTCATGTAACGCTGTGAGCACTAGGTTCAGCTCTTCATCGTCCTGCCCCCTTGTGCAATCACTCGGGGCCCCTCCGGAGAGGGGTACAGCCTGGCACAGAGCCTGGGTCATGCCCTCAGCATTTCCATCCTGCTATTCTCATGCGTGGGATCTTTCGAAAGAATAAACTGAGGAAAGCGAATGGCTGGGAACACAGCCCTAGGTCTTTAGGAGGGAAAGGGAAAAGAAAAAAAAAGACAAGGGGAAGTCAGCTTCGTTAAGAAAATCCAGCTAAAAATCTTGAGGATAACAGAATGAGCAGCCTGTATAGCTTTA